GGGAAGCTAGGGGGAGGTTGCCGTGAGGGGGTTGATGGTTGAAGGTGCGAAATTGCACATGTGGTTAGCGTACATGGTGCGGAATCATGCTTTCTTTTTTCTTTTCGTTTTATTGTGTTCTGTGTGTGTGTCGAAAAGAAAACAAGATAGTGGGTGGGACTCTGTGGGAGATCAATTCGGTTGTTATGTGCCAGATTGAAACGATATCCAACATGGCATCCACACATTCGCATACACATGTGCAATGATAAGTGACCTTTGGAGGGAGCAATCCGCACCACACTGGATGATTGAATACACAGTGGAAGCACACAAACGCCGGAAATAGAATTGAAATGAAAATCAATTCTAATCACCGTCTCTCCCCAAGTCAATCAACAGCACAAATTTCCATTGTGGTTGGGATCCCAACCACATTATCATACCCACGGACCAATTATGTACAAGATTCATAGAAGCATCCGGGAGTCTTCTTCTTCCTCCCGCTTCTTCAAGCTCTAGCTATGGTTGGTGCTTGCAAGCACCCAACCTATCAAGCCTGCCAATCGCCACACACCCTCCTAAATCCAACAGCTCTCTCTGTGCCACTCAAGAAGCCCACTGCAGATGAAGTGTCCAGTCAGCTGGGGAGCGCAGCTTCCAGGACGATGAAGAAGAAGGACAGGAACTCGATGAAGACGAAGTGTCTGCCACGTCGAAGAACCGCTGAAAAAGCAGCTTCGGTGGCAGCTGACGACCAAACCCCAACAAGTAGACATATGAGGAAGCACTCGTCAGCACTTGGGCGCCTAGCCCAGCTTTGTCATCAATGGAGCTGGCCATCCCCAGCTATGGCCGCTAGCGGCATGTGGAGAAGATGCCCTGCATACATGCCCACAATAGCGCAGCAGGGAAGCAACACGACCTCCACCAAGACTGAAAAAAAAGCAACGAAAAGAACTAAAAGAACCCCAAACTCGTCGGCCGCTGCCTACTTCTACCCGACTTCCCTAGACCTACAACACAGCAGCCACCTACAGACCTATCTCACCGTCCAAACAGTAAACATCTACGGCCAAACAGGCGAGATCTACCTACATGCATCTAGATGGCCACCTAGACTAAGGGGACCCAGGCTACGACACAAAAGAAAGACCTACGGACGGGCCTACCAGTTTCCAGAAGGGCAGAAAAGGACATAAGAAACAAGCATGAAAGGCCTAAGACGACGAAGTTGAGACTACTGGCGACGGCGGGTCAGGGTTCAAGCCGAATAAGGCTAAAAAACAGTGCCGATCACAACAAACACGCTACAGGTCATGGGTTGACTTCATCAACTGCAGGAAAACGACAAAACAGCAAAGCCCAAGGGTCTAAGACTGCCAAATAGAGACTACTAGCTACAGGTATAGGATCAGGCCCAGTAGGGCTCAAAGCTAACAAACCGAACGTACAAATTACAGGTCGTGTGATCAAGTCCGGCAAGGCCCAAACCGCTCAAAGCTAACAAACCGAACGTACAAATTACAGGTCACGTGATCAAGTCCCGGAAGGCCCAAACAAAGGAAACATCAAACACAGTTAGTGTACAGTTCCACAACTGCTATTTGTCGCACGTTGACACCACGCAGCTGGGCTGCTGGGGGGCAATGGTAGTTTGAAGCCCAACCTTTTGAAGGGGAGGCTGGTAGGGACACTGCAATTTGTCGTACCTAAGTTATTGCAGGTGACTGTAGTGAATATGGTGAAGGCATAGTCGTACCCCATCGGTAATGGTGGAAGGTCGAGGTGTCGAGGTTCCAAGGGTTCGGTTGTTCGCCGATGAAAGTGGTAATCTCATTGCCGTGTCGGACGAGTAATCTCTGACCTTATTACTTCACTATATGCGGGAAAGTCCTACGCAGCTGGGCTGCTGGGGGGACAATGGTAGATTGAAGCCCAATGTTTTTAAGGGGAGGCTGGTAGGGCCTCCAAACACAAAGAAAAAGGCCCAACAATCTGGGCCGCCAGATCTTCGACGGCCCAGAGTGGGCCATTCTCAAATAGCTGTTGCTGCTGCAGCTGCTGCTGTACCTGTCACACCTGCTGTATCAGTTGCACCTGCTGGACTACCTGCAGCAGGTGGAACGGCTAGATCAGGTAACAACTGCTGCAGTAGCGGCAGCAGGTGCAGCAGATGCATCAGGTGCTGTAGATGCTGCGGACGCCCCCACCCCACCCCTGCACTCTGTTTTTGTTTTTTTGTTTCTCCCCCCCCTCAAAAGAGTCCCAATTTTTTTTTTCTCCTGGGGGTCTCCCTGATGAGAACAGACACCTGAAGGGGTTTTTTTTTCCATGTGTGACCTCCCAATTTGCAGAAAATCATTTGCCCGGGATCGCGAACAACTGCGGTCCCCAGACGTCTGACCCAAATGTCCGGCGGCGCAGCTGTCCGGTCATCGGACAGCCGGTAACCTAGTCTTTTTGCTCTTTTTTGGCGACTTTTTTTGCTCTTTTTTTTGTTCTTAAGTTATTTCTGTTTTTTTTTTGTGGTTTAGGTTGTTAAGATATCGCCTTGCTCTGTTCCAGGTTGTAATGGATCTTGAGATGGAAATCAAAGAAGCAAAATGGATATGCACTGGTGGTGTATGTAGTTAGGATTTAGTGAGTGTAGTTTTGCAGTTGTTCGAAGTCGGGATGGACGGTGCCTGATCCGCCTGTTGGTTTGTGAGTGTTGGCATGGGTGGATTGAGATTTTTAGGATGGTTGGTTTTTGTTTGTGGACGAGTGCCTGAATTCATCGGGGCTATGGTGGCGGTCTCTGTCTTGGGCTGCTCAGCTTTGGAAGTGGAGGAGAGGACGGTTGCGATGGTGTAAATTGTAAATTTTGAGTTGCTGAAAAGAAAAATGAAAAGATGCTTTGCTTTGCAGGTTGGTGTAGTGAGTGTTGGCGTGGGAAAATTGAGATTTTTAGGATGGTGGTTTATTTTTTGTTCGTGGATGGGTGTCTAAATTGATTGGTCTCTGTTGGTTGTGTCGGGGGTCTTGGGCGGTTCAGTTTTGCAAGTGGAGGAGAGGATGGCTACGTCCGGGTTCATCACTTCGATGCGGAGTACTTCACCATGAAGGTCTAAGTGTTGCAGCTCATGCCGTTCCTCTTTTTCTGTAGTAAAGGAGGTGACTTCGGTTGCAACCAGTCACCTGCATTGTGCACGCGATTGGGGTTGGTGGGGTGAAAGAGGGGGGGGGTTAAGAGAAAGACACGTGTAAGGCACTGTTTGGAGCAAAAAACTACCCATTGTTCTTACACCGGCTAGGGTGGGTTTTGCAGATGGGCTGGAGTTATTGCCAGTGCTGCAGGCTGCCTGACGTGGTAGCCTTTCATTTTGAATTTTGAGTGTAGAATCGGGATTTGGTTGTAAACCCAAGAAGAAGCTGAGCAGAGGACTGAGCAGTGGCTCTCTGCCCACTCACTCATTGTCGATGTTGGAAGAGCTAGTGGAGTGGCTTGCAGTGGGGGCAGCTCTTTCATGGGATGGGCCTTTTCTTCAGCAGAAGTCAGTCAGTTCTTAGGTAAATTGTGGTGTAGCTTTTCATTTCTGGGAAGAGAGAGAAGAGTGCATGTATACGGCACCCTCAGTTGCCTCGTCAGGGATAAATTTTCTTCCGGATTATTGCCTCGAAGAGGTCTATCGATATCAATCAGTGAATGGGCTGGATGGCCGTTGATTTTTTTTAACTCAGTCATACAATTCAGATGCGCAATCATAAAAACAAGGACACATTCGAAGCCATTGTCCTCTTAGGAAGGTGAGACCTTGTGTGTATGTGTGTGTGTGTGTGTGTGTGTGTGTGTGTGTGTGTGTGTGTNTGTGTGTGTGTGTGTGTGTGTGTGTGTGTGTGTGTGTGTGTGTTGTCATGTTCAATGTACACGACACAAAAATAGCATGATTTTGCTGGACTGTTTTGTCTGACTTTCACCAACTCATTGGGAGTGTGTGTGTGTGTGTGTGTGTGTGTGCAGAGTGGGGCTCCGTGTGTGGAAAGGTATCTGGCAATGTGTAGGGACTTTTTGGTAGCCTCGTATATGTTCCACGTGTTGTATGTCATCATGTCGTTCCAAAACTTGCTGTGTGATGATTGTTTATGTGTAATCTTGGTTGGAGGAGTTTGTGCGCTATGGTGACTGTATGCAATCTGTTTCAGTGATGATGGCATCAGTGGCATGAAATTCTTTTGGACTGCTCAACCTCCTTCGCTGTCGTCATTGTGCTTGTGATCAGAACTATGTATTAAATTCTCGATGATCGTCTGATCATGATTTGCTCCTCAGGGTGTGTTAGTAAAAAGCTCTCTGGCATTTGTTTTTTTTTGAAGCCCGTCGCCTAGTCACACCACGCGCATGCAGAAGACCCAGCTCTGTACGCTACATCCACGGCGGTTTGTCGTGTGTTGCGGAGGTGTAGCGCCCGCCTCTTCCCACACCTCCGCCACTCTCCCCACATCTCCGCCTGTCTCCGCTCCGCCGAAGAGCTCAACCGTTGGGAATGCGTGTGAAATGTATGTGGTTGGTTTCGTGGGTTTGATGCATTCCCAGTGTCCGATCCACCCGTTTGTTTCGGCCCAGGTGAACAGTGTGGATACATGGAACTATTTGCATGTATCTGCACTGTTTGCCTGGGCTGATGCGAMCGGGGTGATTCATCGTGGGGAATGCATCCGAGCTCGTTTGGAGTTCGGATGCATTCCCCGCGATGAATCACCCCGTTCGCATCAGCCCAGGCAAACAGTGCAGATACATGCAAATCGTCCCATGTTTGGAGTTCGGATGCATTCCCCACGATGAATCACCCCGTTCGCATCAGCCCAGGCAAACAGTGCAGATACATGCAAATCGTCCCATGTATCCACACTGTTCCCCTGGGCGGATACAAACGGGTGCGGCATAGGGAATGCATCAGGCCATGTTTCAGGGGGAAGTTCGCTGTCGTTTTGCACATTTCCCAGAGAGGTGTGGCCCACGTTATACTGGTGCGAAAGGAATAAAAAAACAATTTCCGTATTTGTTTCTGTTTTTTTTTTTCTTTCTAATTCGATCTTTTTTTTTTGGTCCTCGACCGTGTGACCCGCCCTGAACCCAAAGTGTCAGGGTCGCGACTTCGTCCTTTCTGGACGAAGTCCGCCCGTGTGACCACACGGTGACCAAATGCCTCAAAAAACCCGTGTGAGTATGCCCTGAGATTTTTGAGACTTTTGGTCCCCGTGTGAGTATGCCCTGAGACACAGCTGATTTCTGAGGTTTGCCTATGGAATTCGTTCCTTGCTGAGATTCCCGTTCGTTGCCGAGTTTTCTAAGTCTGTGTGTGTGAACCCGGGAAATCGCGGACTGATACACGCAGCTGATTTCTGAGGTTTGCCTATGGAATGCGTTCCTTGCTGAGATTCCCGTTCGTTGCTGAGTTTTCTAAGTCTGTGTGTGTGCATGCTCAGTGGTCTGCGTGCCTGTCTGAGTGCTTGTCGGCTCGAGTATGAGTGTGACCCGCAAGGGGCACTTGTTTGTTCGGGAGGCCCGAAGGGCCGTTACTCACCTGTGGCCATGACTTTGAGGGTTGCAGCGGGGAAAACACTCGATTGGCGGGGGGTAATAGGCCACGACACTTAGAGCAGAGGGGAAAAACAGCAGGTACGCCGGGGTACCACCCCAAGTATCAGTAGATAGATGTGTAGGGTACTGCGAGCAGAAGAAGACAAAAGTTGGCATTCTTAGTTGTAGGCTAGGTCTAGGTGGGTACCAGTCCAAGTAGTCTGAGTCTAGGGCCTGTGCGGATGATATCCGAGTCTGCAATGATGTTTCCCTCCTAAAGGGAGGAGGTCCTGGTTGGTTGGGGGCCGTGCGGCCTGGAAGGCATCGCCCAAGGAGGCTGCTACTTCTCAAGTGAGAGCCAAGAGCTCTTCCTCGTTTTGCTACGTGCAAGTTTGGCGACATGCACCTGGAGCGCTGGTGGAGCAGCAACGCTGGACTGGAGCAGCGCTGCTGGGAAGAGGAGTGCCCAGCTCTCCCCACCTTGACTATGGTGGAGGTCACTGGAGGAGCTCGGCTGAAGGAGGAAGAAGAGGACTAGGAAGGGGAGCGCSAGAGGTATTTACCTGGTTATAGTGGACGCCATCTTCAGCACCTTGGTGGGCGCTGCATCTGGAAGGCTCCAGTGGAGGAGCTCGGCTGAAGGAGGAAGAAGAGGACTAGGAAGGGGAGCACCAGAGGTATTTACCTGGTTATAGTGGACGCCATCTTCAGCACCTTGGTGGGCGCTGCATCTGGAAGGCTCCAGTGGAGGAGCTCGGCTGAAGGAGGAAGAAGAGGACTAGGAAGGGGAGCACCAGAGGTATTTACCTGGTTATAGTGGATGCCATCTTCATCACCTTGGTGGGCGCTGCATCTGGAAGGCTCCAGTGGCGGTAGAGCTACATCAAGAAGCTTCGAGGCAGAGTCAGGCATGGATTCCTGAGTAGGAGCAGAGCCAAAGCTGTTTGAGTTGCCTTTTGCACAGCAGGGCAGGGCCTAGTAGTCCGTCATAGCCTTGGCCGGAGACGAGGAAGAACGAGGAGGGTGGCCATGGCTATGGTGGACCTCACATTGTGTCAGCAGTAGAAAAGGGATTCGGACATTGATTCTGGTTCGGCCATTCATCATCATTATTATTATTATTATTATCATTATTATTATTATTATTATTATTATTATTATTATTATTATTATTATTATTATTATTTATACTGAGGGTAGGAGAAAAGGAGTTTGGTTGGCGAGAAGGGAATTATCATTGGTCTTCGCTGGTGTATATTATTTTCCTTCTTTCTTTCTTCTTTTTCTTCTTCTTTTCTGCTCTCTCCTCTCAAATTCGTTCATTTCTTTTGCAAATGAATGGCATTGTGCTTTCTCGTGAATTTGTAATTCGAACCTTGGCCAGGATCGTAACAAGACTACCAATCGACCCCAGATCTAGCCGGAGTTTGGGACTTCCTTAGACTCCCTTTTGCTCCTGGTAGTGAGTGATTCTTGCTCCTGGTGGTGATTCTGATCGGTGATTTTGATCGGTGAAAAAGAACACCAGATTCTTCTCTCTCCTAGCCTCGCTAGTTTGTCTGTCTTTCACTCTTTGTTAACTCGGTCTTTCCACCATAAGTGGGAGTCGTCGAACTCTTTCACCCTCCCAATCTGATCCGAGGGCTTGTGTGGAAAAGAACATGAGATGTTTTTCGAGTCTGTGGATTCTTTTTGCGCCTGGAGATTCTGGATAAAACCACCGGTCCATTCCAAGTGACATTGATGAACCGAAAAATGCATATTGCCGACCCTGAAATCTACAGTGCAGGCTCTTGGAGCTGGCCAACCCCTACACTATGCTGGACCTGCTGCTAGGATATGGAGATATTATGGACAAAAAGAATTCATTGTTTTCACTCCTGTGCTACCCCAGCCAAACTCCTCACCAAGCCAGCCCCTGTGTAATTTGAGAGCCAGATACAGGTGGAATCTCCAAAGGCAACACAACAAAAAGGTATGCATTTTCCTTTCTTTTTCTACTTTTCCCTTCCTTGCCCGTAAGGCAGGATGTAGAGTGGGCTGTTGCCTATGGAGGTTCCCATCTGTACACACAAACTATGAGAAATACTCCGCCGAAAAAAGAGAACCCATGAATGGGCGGTGGCGCAGTGGTTGGAGCACTGGTTGGAAATGCGCATTGTGGTATGAGGTTGCAGGTTCAAAACCCGTTGCCTCGTGCACGTACAGCGGCAGCGCTTTCATAGCGCACAAGTGATTCCTCCCCTCCCCGCCCCCCCCCCCCGCGCCCCTCTCCCCTTTTGGGCGATGCATGGTAAGCTTATACAGACACTGCGTGCGCACCGTCCAAGAGGTCGAGGTCCATGGTTGTAGTATGCGGGATTGGACCATGGGAGGGCTGCTTGTATGCTTGGGCTTAGGGGGGTCTGATGATCGGGGTCCTATCTTGTCACCACCATAGGGGGGAGGGGGGAGGGGGGAGGCGGGGGGTGAAGGGTAGATTAAACCACCAGTACGTGGCCCATACATCGGCCAGGCGTTTCCCGTTAATGCGCCGCGACTTATGGGGTTCGGCCTACCGGACCACAATGAAGTGCCAGCCAAAAGAAAAACGAAGCAGCTCGACAAAACTTGGCGCGCAGGGCGTTTCCCTGCCCGACATCAATAGCTGGGCCCAAGTACTGGTGGTTAAATGGGAGAGTTTACTGCCTAGACCATTGATTCCTACATATATAACTGTCGCTAATTTTTGGCCTGTGACAAAACTCAAGCTACTCGACTGACCTACTCTATGCTGCTTTGTGCTACTCTACAACGTATAGAAACTACTTTCTGGGGCACATACTGGACAGCGAGTTAGAGTCGACGCCTCTTCGACACTCTAAGCTACTCGACTGAGTTACTCGACGCTACTCTGTGCTACTCTAGAGTCGAGGCCTGTTCGACACTCTTAAGCTACTTGACTGAGTTATTCGATGCTACTCTGTGCTATTCTAGAGTCAACGTCTGTTCGACACTCTAAGCTACTCGTCTGAGCTACTCTGTGCTACTCCACACACACACACACACACACACACACACACACACATACACACACACACACACACGCGCGCGCGCACAAGAGAGAGAGAGAGAGAGAGAGAGAGAGAGAGAGAGAGAGAGAGAGATCCTGCACTCCCATCGGTGCCCCTCCGCCAGCATTCCCTTCCGCCTCCTCTCTCTCTCTCTCTCGCGTTCGTGCGCAAGAGGTCCTGCGCGCACCTAGGTTGTACTTGTTGCGGCGTGCACTCTCTCTCTCTCACACACACACACACACACACACACACTCCCATCGGTGCCCCTCCGCCAGCATTCCCTTCCNGGCGTGCACTCTCTCTCTCTCACACACACACACACACACACACACACTCCCATCGGTGCCCCTCCGCCAGCATTCCCTTCCACCTCCTCTCTCTCTCTCTCTCTCGCGTTCGTGCGCAAGAGGTCCTGCGCGCACCTTGGTTGTACTTGTTGTGGCGTGCACTCTCTCTCTCTCACACACACACACACACACACACACACACACAGAGAGAGAGAGAGAGAGAGTGGTGGAGGGCAGTGTTGGCGGGGGGTTGCGCTGGCGGTAGATTAGGTCTTCCTATTCTTCTCAAGCCCTAGCGCAACCCCTGACAAGTGCGGGTTCTGGCTCCGGCTGAAACAGCTGTTGGGTAAGGCCAATGT